TAAAATCAATGCTCAGCAAATCCACAGCTCACAATTAACTTTTCATCAAGTACTTGTTTATTTCCACATCAAGAATTACAGAGCAACATCGTCCATTTTTGAGATGTGTTTTGGTCCATCTGATGACTGTAGGTTCAATATTCACTCTTTTAGCTCTTTTAGCTCTGTCTTTGGCTGCTATTATCCACTCCACTGTGTACAAACATTACTGACTTCCCTGTCTCTTGTGTGGTACTGAGTCATTCACTAAGGGTTTAAAAGTTTACAAGAAACAGCTGAGAGCAGTGAGAGAGAACCCAAGCATTAAAGTTGTGGCCAAACCATCAGATGAAACTCTACAAATCTCTCTAAAGCTGAGACTAGCTGCATTTGGTAATGATAATTATCCCTTTGCTTTGTCTTTACATGTATTTAATCAAGTAAATTAAATAATTCAATATATAAATATAGATTATAGCCACTTTAAAAAGTGTTTCAGTTGCCCAACTATTCCTTAACCATATTTAATTTGCTATATCTTCATCTTTCCCTTACTTTAACTCATTTGGTTTGGCCTGGAACTGAGATCTACTAAGTGTGAATCTACTGTGCCCTACCTCAAACCATGCTGTTACAGCTGCATGTAGATACTTCAAAAGTATTTGCAGATAAAATAGGTTTGTGATTTGGATGAAACGACCCTTTAAATTACATTATTAGAGTGAAGCATAAATACGCTCTCCTTTTTTGGGGGAGTGATCCTCCCCAGTCGTGTCCAACCAGAGGCATTAAAGATGATAAGTGTTGCCTCTCTGCATCGCACACAGCATTCAGCAGACATATTGTATTGGATTAATGGTGCTGCAATGAACAAGGCCCACATGGCTCGCAGACACTTATCAACCAGTTCTCTGGTGAGTGTGCATGTGTGTCATTGTCATCTTCTGTCCCCATCTAGTCTCACCATCCATTCACAGGGAATCAATGTCCTGCCAATAGCAGAAATTGATTTTTGGAGGATGTTGCAGAAGGCAATATGCAGGCCTGAGTTGTCAGATTTGCGCGTACCCCCATGGACTACAAATACACAACGAGGTGATAAAGCTTCAGAAATCAGAGGGAAGTGTTCTTGTGTATGAGGCCAGAAACGTGAACCCAGAAAACACGGCCTTTGGCCTATAGTACATCTTAGCCCAGTAAAGAGCGCATGATTAAAAGCCTTCCCAGAGGCAGCTTGTGCTTCACAGTTGGTATTATTGCACATACTTGCATGCTTGAAACTCACATTAATGGACTTTTTAAAAAGGGCTATTACAGTCTCTAACTTGTCTGGTTATTCAGATAAACACTAATTGCAAAACAATACCCTCGTCTAAAGCCACAACCTCAAAAATATTTCAGTTGTTCGATTCAACCATGACAATGACTCTCAAAATCTCTTTTCACAACATTTACAACATAGTTTGCCCTCTCTTGCTCGCGTCCCAGGGTTACTTCGACACAGAAAAAGCTTTTGAGAGTCAACACCAACTAGAGTTTAGGAACAAAAAGTGATGGACTTTTTGTTCCGGCTGAAACATTCTTGTTCCTTACAAAAGAGCTGGAGACAGAAAAAAAAGCCCTTTAAATGTAAAAGCAAAGCTTGTGTTTTAAGGGTTTTAGGTGAACAAGTAGGAGTTGAAAAGAGGAAGGAAGTCAGAACAAGAAGCTAAAGCAAGGAAGAAAGAGAGGAGGGGGGAAGTAAGTACATGGCTCCTTTTTCCCTGTGTTCGACTCAAATGAAAAGTTCCTCCAGATGAATACGTTCCCAGTAACATTAACTTTATTGGTATTCAATCACAGCAGGGAGCAGACATAGGGTCAGGAGCAATCAGTTTGCCTTGGGCTCATGAAACTGGGTTCAAAATCTGGGTTCAGCATTTCTTCTTTCTCTAACACTTTTTGGCATGTTTGTGTCTCAGGCGGCCATTAATTGCAAAACCGTCCACCCATAACAATATGAGTTTCTGAGACGCTAACTGCAGCCCAAATCAAAGCCAATCCTTCACAAGGCAAAAAAACAAAAACCAGCTGACAGAAATAGACCAGTGGTTAGTCAGGATTCCATTTCCAACTCATGAATTGAATTTCAAGCAGTGTACCAAATTGGCTAAGCCGGACCACATCCCTGCTCTGTATTGTCAGGGCGTTTGAAAAGCAGTAATTGGATAATCCATTTTAAGATGGCTATGCCACCCCAAAGTTATAGAAGTGAGGGATCTCCCAAAGGAAACTGGATGTTGCTGAGTAATCCTGTCATGTCCAGCGACACAAACAGTAACCTTGACACTGTCTCTAGCAGTGCAGCGATCTTCACTGAGATTCCAAGTTCACCTCTTCTCTATAGAGATTGCAGCAAAGACTAGCTCGTATGCATTCTCCTCACACTGGACTTTTTCTGAGAGCAGTTTATGCCCCACTGCCCAGTTTCCAATGGCACTTTTTCAGCCAAGGCTCAGTCCTTACTGCATTCTCCTTGATTCACTTATTAAATTATAAAAAAAACACCAATTGATGTGTTCCTGTTATACTACCTCCTTGTCCACTGAGGCAACTTGCAGCTTGTTGAAAGTGCAATTGTCAGTTAATAACGTAGAAAGAAAAAGGATTTCTCTGTCTATTGACGAAGGGCACCACACAATGACTTCATTCATTCATTGTAGGGAATGTGCATATTTCACAGACAAAGCCAGCTCTCACTAGCAGCGTTCAGATTCTTCTCAGATCTGTTCTGATCTCCAAGAAATTCCTCCCGGGGCAAAATGCCTCTTCCATAAAGTGCTGGTGATAGGTCATATGTGCTTCTAAGATTTAAAGCAGACACTGAATCCACCTGCTGTTTATTCCCTGGGGTTTATTCAGAAAAAATTAGAAGTCATTTACTTCCACTCATCTTCTATTCATTTCCTCAAGTAAAATACAGGCAGAGTGGTTGCAGCACATTTTCAAGGCTGTCACCGCATTGTCCTGCTAAAATCTTGAGTTCTCATATCAATATCAACCATGACGAAGGGTTAGGGTTGGGGCTGAAGAGGGAGAGATTTAAAAAGCCAGGTAAGAGAGTGAAAAAGATACATTTTAATCAATTTTAAGGGCCAAATGA